AAAACAAAAACGACTTTGAGACGCCATCCACAGCATTTTCTTCATTGGAAGTTTCATTTTTAGGGCCACGGACAACTGGTTCTCCTTTGCCTTGTCTGTGGTCGAGACTCAACAGGGTGAAGAACTGCTTGGTAGACTAAGCTTGTTTGGGCCAAATTTTAGAACAATGTTTAGAAGACGGGGTAAAAGAGAAAGAGAAGGAAAAAATGCAATATAATCGGGGGGGGTGAGAAATAAATTTCAAGAGAGCAGAATCAGTATATAAGCCAAACTGTAAACCATTAAACAAATTCATACGAATAAAATGTTTTGCACATATGAAATCAAAACTGAGCATCCACATGCTTGAGAGGGTAAGAAACCTCCTGTTGGCATGGTGGCTCCAATACCAGAGAAAGCACGATTACTTGTAAGGAAATAGTGTTTTGGTGGTAGGGAAGCAACTTAAAATACTATCGAGTCAAAAGTCCTCTCGAGAAACTGGTATTAAGTGAAGATGGAAGGGAGATCTTCAGACCTCTTTAAAAACGAAGCTGAACAATCGTGTACTGTCATTTAGAGGTTGCTTAAGGTGTAAGCCAACAGCAAGAGCAATCTTTGCTTATTATCCAGGATAAAAATAAGTGGATCTTGTCAGGCTGCAGAATTGGTTTAGAAACAGCAATAAGGAGAATAACGTGAATGACGCGAGTCAAATGAGCAACGAAAACACACGCGTCTCTTCATGCAGCAGCACACAGATTCCATCCCACATTACAGCGGAGTGAAGAATTCTCTAAGTCAACTAGCGTAGAAATATAATAATATGCCGTTTTTATATATTTTATTCAAAGAGGATATTTATTTTAAGGAGCGAAATGTGCGCTAATTTTCTGAATTTTCTGTGGTGGTAACTTAACCGAGGACATTCCTTTTAGTAATGAAGCTACATTCCACATGCATGATAACTATCGACTCATTTACCACACTCAAACGAATGAATAGCTAGTTGACTTTCTTCAATGTAAATTACTAACAAACTTAACATAGTTCCTTAAAATGTACACTGCTGGCCATTAAAATTCCTACGCCAAGAAGGAATGCGAATAGCAGAATCTTATTTATATACATATGCCATATAATAAGAGGAAGACATGATTAAATTTGCAGATGGCTTAAGGTAAACAGCTTGCAGAATTCAGTAAACAAAGCTGCCACGTTTGACAACAACAAAGGCTGAAATCCGGCTGCGCATTGAGCTGAACTTATAAAGTATTCCTCCGGCCTTCGTGGTGTAAAGGTCAGCACAATCGGCGCGCATTTCAAGAGGTCTGAGCTTCGAATACCAGCGAGGGCAATGTTCATTTTCACCTCTACTGCTTCAAAATAACGTAATAACACTACAGTGGCGCCCGAACCAAAAACGGTGGTGGATGACGATTCTTCACCACCAGGATTTGGCGACTGGGGCGCCTTTTAAAAGGGTAGTATGTAAGGTACTTCTCCCGCCTTCCTAGCATGCCTTCGTGGTGTAATAATCAGCATTCCCGGTGCATATTTAGAGAGGTTCGAGGTTCGAGTCTCGGCGTGGGCATTGAAAATTTTTCATGTCTCCTGCTTCCAAATATCCTAATGTTTCTAAAACCTGACCTTGGCTGAAAGATATGGATATTTCACGCCATACGGTTTATACTACATGCCATAGATTATAAGTCGAAGTGGATGAGAGTGGTAGCGTACAGATCTCTCGGCAATCCATGATGAGATGTTCTTCTCACAACATGCTGACCACGGCAACAGTCGAACACCCTCTGTATCGATGGAAGATCAGGACAGCACGGACAATATACCGTTATGCATTATCTTGTTGAAAAATGGCGGCATGCATGCCTCGAAGATGGGGAAGACTACAAGTCTCAACATGTGAGAAATGTAACGGCGGTTTTCAACATTACCACGCTAACAAAAGCTAACAACGCTAACAAAAGGTGACCAGAATGTGCAATGAGTGGCACACCATGTGAGCATGCCAGGTCCTGGTTCATATGACAGTGACGAATGCAAGCTGGCAACTTTCATTCTTTAGATGCTTCTGTACACAGATACGTATACAGATACTATGATACTGTACGCAGAATTGGGATTCACCTGAAAAGATGACGTGGTGACAGTCCTATGTCTAGTGTTGTCGTTTGTCTCAACAGTGTCTCAATATCAAGAGAATCCGCTACAGCAATCGCTGTGATGACAGTCCGTAGTGCTGCAAACTTCATTACACTGTCCGTGCAGACTTAAGTTGCCTAATCTACCACAACGCAATGAAAGGCATTACAATAGATATTTATATTAATTAATTTTTATCATTGTAAATTAATGGAATATAATTTTAGAATTAATGTTCCTACGGACGAACAATTCCACTAATAAATGTCTATTCATTAAACATAAAATAATGATCATTAATAATTAAAATAATCTTTCACTGAGATTCGAAACTCGGACCGAACTACCAGTATTCATCGACTTTTCCACTCGGCCGCTGGTGGGCTTATCAGGGAACAAGGATCATTACGATTGTGGAGGTGTAATGATTTCCGGAGGTATTATGTTGGACGGCCACATACCCCTGCGTGTGTTTGAGAAAAGCTTCCTGAATGCTATGAGATATAGAAAGGACATCTTAGAGTTCTATGTTCGAATTTTTAGGAGTGCAGTTGGCCTTTGGTTCCTGTTAAGGAACCGCTTGTCCAAATGAGGCTGAGATGGTCGACGGAAAGTGAGAAGGACCTTCTTGGGAGGTAGTTTAATCTCACAATCGCCCCCCCCCGAAACCATCGCGGAGTTGTTGGAAACTGTCTTGTTGCAGGAGTGGGATCTACTGTCACAGAGACTCTTCAACTGTGTCCTGTCCAGTATGCCATCGCACTCCGCGACTTGTATGGCTGCCATACCCTATTCTATATTACTCTCATTTTCAGTTCTACATCACTGCGTACATCCCTGCACTATGAGCTTTACTGATAATCATGCTTACATAAAAGAACTTTTGAAGGGTACATTTCTTTCTCTGTTATAAATGTATATTCGTAGCAAATTTCATTAAAACCTCTCCATAAGTTTTTTAGAAATTCTGCATATGTGAAAATTGTCTTAATTATACACACGAGTGTATTTAACTACGCTTTATGTTTGAGCTATTTCCGAAAAAACTATTATATCTTCTTATCTAGAATTTGATTTTACGAATAATTTATCAATTAGAGAACTGGATGATAATGCGCTACTCTAATTAATATGAGAGTCTGAATGTTTATGCTGTCTTATTGCTAAAACACCCATACTTCCAATTTAAACACTTTGTCAAATGATTCATTTTACTGCTTGTGGATTTTTAATTGCCGCTCACCATTCATAATCTTTATCCCAGTTTTTGTTATGTGAACATAATCACTTGGTCTTTTTCTTGTCAGTACCTTAATTTATTTATAGGATAGCAGCACTGAATAAAATGTGGTATGATGACAATAGAATGTATGTATGCAACGATTTAACAAAAAAGTGAGAAATTAAAAGAGTGAATATTATATACAACCAGGCGTACTTTAGAAATACCAGAAAATATTTTGAAACCAACCAAACAAATGCAATTAAATCGCATTCTAAACAGACTGACAGAAAAGAAGTGACTATTATGCAAGGATTCTGAGCATGGATACGAAAGTTATTCGCTAGACTGCCTTTGAAGGCTGGCCTGATTTTTAAAAGTCCTAAGCTCTGGGTCCCCCAAAAAAGGATGGGAGATGGCAGCTGTTGAAAAAAGAAGAGGCAGCCTGCTTATGCTAACGTAAGACATCTGTAGTACAGCTGATCGAAAAGGCAGAGGTTTGAATGTATGAAAGAACAGAAATTTTATAACACTCTGTAGAGTACAGTATATATATATAAAAACTCCGTTGCTAATTGAAATTAATAATCGTTGCTAAGCAAATTTTACTAGATAAATACGATAAAATTTGATGAGAGTATTTACCTAAAAACTTGTGCTTAATGAAACACAAGAACCTAGATAGAAAAGTTGCAAGCTGAATGTGATCATTCATCCGCAAGAGATTTTTAATTTCGAAATAAAAGACATTCGGCATTTTTTCTAAATTCAAAAAGTGACCAGAAAAGCTGATTATAGGATTATTCTTTCTATAAAAGGGGGTTTGCAACCCAAGTGAAGCCATTTGTTGTCCTGCACACGAACCAAGTCTCTGACTCAGAGTATGTGACATGGCTGTACGATCCCGCTAAGCGGAGAGGACAACATGTCTGTCCTATCTATTGTTAGCGGCCCAGGGCAGCTGAGGTATTACAAGCAATATGGTCTTCCTGGATACATCGATTCCACTTGCCTGACAGTCATGGGATATCGACCAACACTTACATCAATGCCGCGCAGTACCGATAGGCCACGATCCTGACGACCTTTTACAGAAACAACCAACGTTCAAATGCGATTTCCAAATGAGAAATTCGTTGCACAGTCATCCCATTTATACCAATGTAGATTGCATTTCTCATACCTGCTTTGTGCGCATGCATTGGAATGCTAACAATTTGCATATCCCAGCATTTAGTGTCCTTTCATGCAAATTTGTTGCTTGTTGCCTACCGATTTCACAGGGAGGAAATTTCAATGGTCAGCAGTGCACTTTTCTAGGAGTGTAATTAAATAAAAATGCATATTTACAAATTTTCGGGATGTTATAAAAATCTATTTTTTATGCAAAGTTTATCGTATTAATCGTATCTGGGACAGTGTTTATCAATTTGCTATCAATAATAAAAATATAGGTTGCTTTCTCTTCCAAAGATCTATTATTATTCATAGCATGCTATCTTTCCTACACAGAGCATAATTAAATGAAACGATCACATTTCAAAATTGTAGATACTTAATTCACATATGTTTTATGAGTCTTAATTAAATGAGTAAAATAGCATCAATATTTCTGAAATATTCTGATATTTTTCAGATAAAAAGAATACCATGGAAATCCATAATGACATCAATTCCTTTCTGGTCCTTAGCATTAGGATATTTTGGCCAATTCTGGATTCTTGGATTTTATTCCACAACTCAAGCTTTATATATGGGTACCATTCTTAACTTAGACAGCATTACGGTAAGTTCTAAAAGCAGAAAATATTAATTTTGAGAAAACTTTCTTAGGCTTTAATCTGATAAATATGTGTCGACTAAAGTTATTGACTAAAGGCCTTGACTAAAGTTATCAGTCAATTGTTTCTAGAAGAACACCTATGCCGCCCAACCGGTATAGTGGTTAGCATCGCTAACTGCCATGCCGAAGGTCCCGGATTCGAATCCCGAAGAAAGCATGGATGTTTGTAAATACATAATGTCCATGTGGAATGGGAGTACTCTAAATATGCGGTGAACCAAAAGTCCTCTCTAGAGGTTGGTGGTAGAGGAAGAGGAGTGACAGATCCTTAGACCTGCCCCTCCTGGGACGCTCTCTATCAGAATTGGGGGGTGGAACTGAGCTAAGTCATACTGTCACCTTTAAAGTGCTCAAGACTTTTGCAAACGACAGGCATAATCTTGTGCTCCTTGCCACGAGTAGTTTCGTGGGCTTGAGCTGAACATAGGTCAGAAAAGTGAGCATCAATCAACAACAACAACAAAAAAGAATGCCTGTAGTCCTTAACAAGCCTTTAGAGGTATCGATGCATCTTCTTTATAAATTATCTTGCAGAAATAGGTGGATTTCTTTCTTTCTTTTTTTTAAGTGTAAACAGAGGTTTTGTTCGACCAGTTAAATACAAAAAGCCATCGTGAAAAACTGTTCATTCCCTGTTGTTCCCGCTGTTTGGAAGATTAGTTCTTGTAATGAGATGTCTGAACAAATCTGAGAATACAATGAATGTGCAAAATCGTTAGTCGGCTCTATTAATGCTAAGTCTTTTATATTTTACTTCCTTGTACGAAGTAAAAAGGAAGTATTGTAGTCGCGAAAAGTTTCAGGCAGCATATTTCAACGAAAATATCCATTTTGACCGTTATCAAATGCAATTTAACGATGTGTTTGCGTGATATCTGTACGTAAGCGACAGAATAAAATACTAATTTCCTCCAAAAAAATTATAAAACCGCTTTAAAATGAATTCTGAAGAGAAATTTTCGTGGCGTCTGTACGAACGTATGTACGTACGTATCTCGCATAACTTAAAAAAGAGTAGCCTCAGAACGTTGAAATTTTGTATATAGGAGTGCTATAACATGTATATGTGCACCTCGATTTTGGTTGCAATCGGCCGCACCAAACGTATATAAATATTTATATATATATCCACTCTGTTACCCGGCTCATGATCTCAGTTTCTTTACTCTTATATGTTTGTAAATTGTACATTTTTTGCTTTTAAAATGATTGAATTATGTTGTTTTTTTTTATCTTCTGGTTAAGGTTTTTATGCCTTTAGTGAATCTGTATGCAATCTTTTTAGAATTATCAACAATTTTAAAGTTGTCTAAGTGCCGCTAAGCCTAATAATTTTTTTTGATGGCCGCCATTGCTTGTTTACATGTTAAACGGCAGAATAGTGGATTTGTTGCCAATCTAGAAACTTAGTTTCGCAACAACAAAGATAACGCATTCATTTATTATTGCGAATTAAATCATGCTTAATCCTTTTTGGAATTTTTTCGAGGAAATAAGTGTTTAAGATATACTTCGTAATTTTTAATACAGATATTTTGAGATTTTATGTATTTTTGCCTTCTCGCGAAGTGAGACTGAATTAATTGAATAAGAAATACTCAATCGCCTGTGAAAAACTGCTTCTTTTTTGTTTTGCTTGCTTAATTTCTTTTATCCATCGTTCTAGGTTTATTACAGTATTTGAATAGGACATGTGGCAACGATTAGATAATTCTTTAATTGATATAAATTTTGTGCATTCTGAGTTATAATATAAACGAAATATAATACTGTTAAGTGAACCGAGCCCCAGAGTGTCGCTATGGTAAACAAATAGAGTGAATTTTAAAGAATGCATTTATTCTATTGTGGTTTATGCGTTTTCGGCGAAGTAGATTTAATTCAATCCAATAAGTTTAAATGAAATGCAAGAAAAAATGCTTATAATTTAATATTCTGTACAAGGAAGTCATGTGGTGTACACATCAGTTTTTTTTTTCTATTATGATAAAATTCTTATTTATCATGTGTTATAAAAACATGCATTAATAGATGCTATAAGATATTTCTCCCACTTCCCTAGCGTGCCTTCGTGGTATAACGGTAGCACGCTGGGCCAGTATTCCAGAGGTCCGTGGTTCGATTCCCGGCGAAGATGGTTGTATATTTTTCATCTTTTCTGCTTCCAGTTAACCTAATGACTCTACTATGCTACTAACTATTTTGATACTCATCTCATCAACTGAGTACCTTATAGTATAAAACGTTATTAGAGTATATATTCCTATAAATAATTTAACGGTTAATAATTATGGTCAGTAATCCTTTCACTTCTTTTTTTTGTGACATATCTTGGATGAGATTATATCCATTTGACTTCTAAATATAATAACGCTCTTGCTAACTAATAATCTTTATAGTGTGCAAGGTTATTTAATAACAACGTGAATAGTTGTAATTTCTTTTTTTTTTTTTTTTTTTTTGATTTACTTAAAATTATAACATTTAATGATATAATTTTAATAAATTTTACTTCAGTATTAGAATCATACGTATCAATCATATCTTCAGTATCATACAAATTGTTGATATTAAGATTACTTCATACGACATTTCATAAGCACTTTTGGAGAATCATTACCTTTGTTTAACATTTTTTCCAGTCTCTTATCGAAAATTTCTGACATTTTCTAGACGAAAAGTCACGATGCCTTAATTTCAAACTCAGCAGAAATTTGTTGAATGGATGTTTCAGAATGATTTAATATTTCGCGTATATTGAGTTTTTATTTCAAACCTAAATATTTATTACCTAAAATATTAAAGTGCTGACATTTTGCTTTCAAAGTGTGTGAAACAAGAAATACACTATTTTGCAAAAAAATCGAAGCATCAAAAACTTTTGCGATCGTGACGAAATTTGGTATGCAAAAACATCTTGATCGGATATGCAAATGATCAAAGTTTTAGGGCAAATGAACAGGAATTGCAATAATAGCTCGCATTTCTAGTGCGCAATTCTAAAAATATAAAACCAGTAACGGAAGCGGAAGATTTATCTTTTTTTTTGTTGCTGCTATTGTAATTCCGTAAAGAAGCAACTAAAGATGCTATTACGACAATACCGAAGACCTTACAGACACCTGAGCGACTTCGAACGTGGTTGCTTTTTAGGGATGCGTGAAGCTGGGTGGTCATACCGAGCAATTGCCGCCAATTGCAGGGTAAGATGCACTGCTGTGCAAAGATGTTGGCAGCAATGATTGCTACAAAGGAAATTGCCGTCGAAATGAAGGCTTTGGAAGGCCAAGGAGCACAAATGCGAGGCAAGATAGGATAATTCTTCGCCAGGCCCGAACCGTCCCAACGGTGGTATCATTGTCGACTATTCAACGCACTACAGCCACGTCTATACCTCTCTTGTTACCGTCCACCATCTCATGGCGCTTTCTTGAGGCGGCGTTACGCTGGCAGAGGCCTTTAAGACGTTTGCCTTTGACCCCACAACATCGGCGGAGTCATCTGGAGTGGTGTCACAGCCGATCATCATGGCTGCCATCAGACTGGCACCGTGTAGTGTTCAGCGATGATTCTCGCTTCACTCTTGAAGCAGATGACCACCGTGTTCTTGTCTGTAGGAGACTGGGCCAGCGTTCCCAATCAGCCTTTTTTTTTTTGCCATAACCCCTGGTGTGATGGTGTGGGGCGCTATTTCTTATGACAGCAGATCATCTTTAGTCATCCTCCGGACATCTTTAACAGCTCAACGATATGTTGATACCATCCTGCGGCTAGTTGCATTACCCTTCATGGCATGTCATCCTGAGGCCATTTTCCAACAAGATAATGCTAGGCTACATACCGCTCGCATATCTTTGGACTGTCTCCGTGCAGTTGATATTCTTACTTGGGTAGCAAGGTCACCAGACCTTTCACCAATCGAGCATGTTTGGACATGGTAGGTCGCCAGATTCGGGCACCACAAAATATCGCAGATCTGGAGCGACAACTGATGAATGCCCAGCAGAATGTGTCGCAGGATGACATTAGGAACATCTACCACTCCTTGCCTCGACGAATTAAAGCATGCGTTGCCGCCAGGGGCGGTTCAACCAACTACTAATTTGAACACTCAGTGGATGATTGTGAGCCGTGAACAGGTACTATAACCTTGATTTTTTAATCATTTTATTATGTGTTTATGAGCTATACACTTATTCAATTTCAACAACCACTTCCTTCATGGTGCTTCGATTTTTTTTTTTTTTTTTTGCTAAAGAGTTTACATCTTATGCGTGTAATTATATATGCTGTACATTTAATACAGGTTTGTTCTATAATCTTGTTTTGAATTTAACTGACGTGTGGTTTTTTTTTATAGAATGGCGAAATGTCTTGTCTTCCACCTTTAACACGGGGTTTATTTGCTTGTCTGTGTGGTTACCCTGCTGACTGGCTTGTTAAAAAAGGATATGTGTCTGTTGGATTTATTAGAAAGGGAGCTACATTAATTAGTAAGTCGAGTTCAACATCCCAGTTTAGATTATTATTACAGTTTTTTACTTGCAATCATGTTTATGTGTATTCACAAGCATTTTGTTTAATATTGTTCCTGTCTGTGTGTTAGCATGAAGACTTCTGATTCTTTCTTAGATAAATGTTTGCTATTTTTATCTTCCGTACAAATGTACTAAATACACTTGTGTAGCTTTTTGCATTGTAGTGTAGCCGATAGTTGATATAATAAGTCCTCTCAACGCTTAATTCTTGTTTTTGTTGGTTTGCTAGAGGAAATATTCGAGTTTGAATATAATTTGGTGAACATTATAAAAATACTTTAATTACAGGAATTATAAAAATACTTTAATTTTAGAAACAAAATAATATATCGGTTTATAAAATCAAAACTGCATTAAAACGTAATTTAAAAAAAACAGATTAAGATGTAGGTTATTAATCAGTATTAAATACATTTGGAAAGTATTTTATAATATTCCGATGCAGTAAACTTATTCAAAACGCAAATTTATGTAGAGGCAGTCTAAGAATTCATAAAATGTAAAAATAATTTATTTTCGTATTTTTAAATTAAAAATCTCAACATCTGTGACAAGTGTTCAAAGTTATGCTTTACCGTATTCTGGCCATCGGGCATTCTGCCACTACATATCTAAAAATTCTTTGTGTTTAAGTACTTTATCTGTCACATTATTTTAACTAACTACTGGGAAGAGACGAGCAGAAGTATAACGCAGTGTTTCTGAAGATTTTTTTTAACATCTCACTTCTTACATCCATTAATAAAATAATAATAATAATAGTAAAAGTACTTACCTCTTTAACTGCATAATTTTAGTAGTAGAAATCTCATAAGGCATAGTATACTAACGTTAAACGCAATGGGACGGTAGAAAGCAGGAAAAGTTGCTCGCCAGTTAGGTCGACGTTCAATCCTTTTGGAATTCGATATGCGATAAGTACATTTGCCGTCCTGTATAGATTAAATACAAGGTAGTTCAAAAATGTCTGGCAATATGCAAAAGCAGATAGATGAGATTGAACTAGGCAGATTTGTAAGATTTTCTCCCTTCTTACCGCGTACGTAGCTGGTGTAAGCAGAAAGCATGTTCGTCTATTATTAGGAGTTCCAGAGTTCCAGATCACATCTTAAAATACAGTGGGTAAAAAAAGTATTGGAAATTGCCTATAATTGATCATATTACCTAACAAAGGAAATGCCTGACAATTTTAGCTGGACATAACGAACATAGGAGGTAATCAACACACAAATCTCATGAAACTTTCAATTTAATATGCGTTTTACACAAAATATACAACAAAAACGTAAATTTCCATGTCAAAAAAGTATTGGCAAAGTTTTAACTGCTATGCAAATTTGTTATGTAGAGGTCACGTGTTTAGACTGATAAGAAACCCTATTAGTATACAGTCTGCAGTGCTACTTCAAAACTTTTAAAATGTTATTTTGCTAATACTGTGATAAAATGGATTCAAAGTCGATGGAGTGTGATGTTAATGTTAAAAACATGATTATTCAGCTCAGAAATGAGGGTTTACCTTATCGTGCTTTAGGAATACAGAACATAAGTTTATTTACTGTTAGAAGTGTTGTAAAAAAGTTCAGAGAGACGGGATCGACGGAAAATAAGATTAGAAGTGGACAGTATCGAATATTTTTTGCATGGGAAAACGTGTCATTATTAAAGACGTTAAGAAAAACCCTAAAATAATTGCACCCCAGTTAGCCAAAGATGTTACTAATACTTCGCATAAAACTTTTAGTGTACAGACTCTATAGAATGTCTGACATGGAGGAAGTTATTATGGAAGAACAGCTAGAAATAAATCTTTCATTTCAGAAATAAACAGGGGAAAAGGATTAGATTTTCAAAATCTCATTTTAATTTATCAGAAGAATTTTGGAACACTATTATTTCGTCCGACGAATTGAAATTTGACATTTTTGAGAGAAATGGACGACAATATGTGTGGAGAGCCTCACACCGAACTGGGAAAACAACATTTAACACAGAATGTAAAACATGGTAGAGGGAGCGGCGTAGTTTGGGGCAGTATGGCAGCACACACACACACACACGCACACAAACAGAATTGGTAATCTGTGCTTCATTGATGGTATTATGAGAGCATGCGCGTACATTTACATATTGCGCCATTACATGAAATTCAGTGTCCCAAAACTTGGTTTAGGAACATCATTTGTGTTTCCACAGAACAATTACTGTAAAGATATAGTGAACTACATCTCGCAATAATTACTCTATAATGCTCCTTGCAGTTAAAGACACCGCCTGAATAGCCTGACATAAATTCAATTGAAAATTTATTTCTTAAATTGGACCTAGAATTCAGGAAACATAAAATTTCGTGTAAAGATGAACTTAAGTGTATATTCTTGCAAGAATGGCACAAAATTCCCAACAGGACTTTGGTTTTTTCCAACAGGACTTTTTCAACAGCCAGGACTTTGGTTTTCTCTATGAGAAATAGATTGCAAGCTCTTATAGATGCAAAAGGTATGAATACAAAATATTTAATTTTGTTCCCACATTTTTCTGTATGATCTTGCCAATACTTTTTTGACATGCAAATTTACGTTTTTGTTGTATATTTTGTGTAAAAGCCATATTAAAACGAAAGTTTCATTAGGATTTGTGTCTTTATTGCCTCCAGTGTTCATTATGTCCAGCTAAAATTATCGAGCATTTCCTTTGTTTGCTAATATGACCAGTTATAGGCAATTGCCAATACTTTTTTTATCCACTGTATACCTTCTGACAATCTCGCTAAAAGACAAGGTGAATGGAATTTTTGTGAAGAGCACAGATGTACCTTTAACTATAAGCCAACAGTTGATATAAATGGTAAAGTTTCGATTCCACAGTTATCAAGATACATTTTACAGGACATGGGTTCTTCGCAACGTTTTGATATAAGCATCAATTTTATAAGAATGATCGTTGTATCTGTGGGGACACTGAATCTCCGGGTCATACAGTGGAATGGCCCCGGACGAAAGAATTCCAAATTAAATTTTCAGAAGCTGATATCATTTCTTTCGAAAGCTTCTTTATTAAGCAGACACATCTTGTTCTCAAATTTCGTGAAATTATGAATCTACTTGCATCACTGGTAAAGATATTTGCAATCCCACTTAAAAATATGAATATAATAGTAGCATATTTATCTCTTTACAATTTCCATTTTTTATTAGTAACCGCATGCTGTAGTCTTATTAGTTATTACCTGACATGCAGCAACTTTATTTTGTGAGCATAAGTTGTAAAGGCTTAATAAAGACATTATGATTATTTGTATGATAGATTTTATGAATGTTTCATCGAGCTTCATGGACTCTATGGATTGTGAACTTTATTTTCATTGCAATTGCATTTTATTTCTAGATTTTTAGTCCTCTTTCATGTGAATGTGTTTCACAATTTAATCTTTTATATTATGTAGTCTAATATAAAAAATGTAGTTAATTTGGTTACTATTAATTAAAATAAAAATAATCCAATTAATGATGAATGTGGGAACAATACTTGTTAACCACTCGTAAAGACAAAGTGCCCCCATTCATCACCATCTGAACTGAAGGACATTCATCTCTAGTGATAAGCCGCAACATCTTCCGTAGCATCAGAGTACTCGAATCGACTTTCTTCAGCAAGATAACGTTCGCTTTATTCTAAATGCATTACAAAGTGTACAAGTGTTGTTTCCTTGGTCACTCGATGTCCCAGTTTCTCGCCAGTCGAGCATTTTTGAGAGATAGCTGGGTGTCGGTTAAATACTTGATTTCATTTCAGAAATAAAAAAGAAATGTGAAGTGACATGGACAGTGTGGGATTAACGACGCCTCATGATATAATTCGGCACTCACTGATGCAATGCTATAACGTGCTCAAAAATGTAACACAACCATACTATTTTATTGATATTTTGTACGTCTAAATGCCTTACTATAGCACTTCGTTGAAAAGTTAATAATCAAGTGTCTAGTATCTGCATGAGTGAAACATTTGTTCTGTCTCCGGTCATCAAGATATGATACTGGTGCTGCAAGTCCTAAGAAACTGTAATAATCGCTTTTTCAATTTAAATTTTGTGTCGGTTTACATGAATCTAATCTTTCCAACGTTTTGACGGGAAATGCCTCAATGACTTTTAAGTTAGAATTCGAAAAATTCAATTGACGAAAATTGCGGGAAGATTTGACTTCTGAATGTAGAATCAATTCGTAGGATTTAAATTAAGCAAAAAAGCTGTCTTAGTTAGAGTAGATTTTGCGAAAACTTTAAGGATTTTGCATAAAACTTTAAGTAAATTTCAAGGACGATTAAATGCATTCCTCTTCAAGAGCAAAATCATTTTTTTTTAAATGGGAGAAATGAGGATCGTTTAATATGCCAGAAGTGATGAGCGGAGCAGTTCAAGTAACAACTTAGCCCCATCCTTTGAAGAAAATAGTAATGAAAAATGAAAAATGAAAAATAAAATAAAATAAAAATTCTGAAAGTATTAGGAAGAACTGGAATGGAAATAATATTATTGAGTAAGGGAGATAATTTTTTGGTAATGTGAAAAGCTTCAAGGAAATCTAATTCACTAATGTAAGAAGCTTTACAGAGAACTTTGGAAGACCAAAAGTCAAGGTTGTAATCAAATTTACCACCATGATTGACTTTTTATTTTATTTTATTTATTTATTTATTTATTTATTTATTTATTTTTTTAAAGATTTGTTTTTTTTTCTCCTTTTCGAACATATGACTAGTGATCCTTCTTGCAAAATTTTAATATTTGTCAAGTTTAGCCTATGTATGATAACCACATAGTTAGAATAGGCTGTAAATTTCCCAAGTATTAAAATCAGAAGTAGGATTCTTAGAAATCGAACACATAATATTGGGAGGGGAGTAAACAAACAGAAAATGGTTTACGGTAAACAGTAGAGTTAAAATAAAAT